AAAAGAAGAAAAAAACATGTGCTTTTTATTTATGCATGTTTGTAATTAATTAATTTAAGTATTGAATCGTCTTTAATTATTTTAGTTAATGTGATTTTAATTTTAAGTTTATTTATGCATGTTAGTTAGTTTATATTAATTTAAAATTTGTTATTTTAATATTTTGTAATTGTTTTAATTTATCCTCGAATTTATTTTATGCATGCCTATTATTAATTTAAATTTTAGTATTTGAATTTTCTTCTTTTATTTAATTGATGTAGCTTTAATTTATTTTTTTAGTAATTAGGTTCAGTAAGTAATAGGTAGAAGATTGTCAAGTCTTCTAATTATTTAGGGACCGATGGCGCTTTTCACTAAAGAAAAAAATAAAGAAAGAAAAATGAAAAAAAATTATAAAACTTTTAACAAAGTCTCATATCCGATAGAGATCGTTATTAGCAAAAAAAAATTCATTTTTAATAAACAAGTGTTCTCTAACATACCGATTGTGTTAAGACTCAAAAAATGGATCCGATGTTTGAATCGACGTGTCTCCCGTCGAAAGGGGTCCGACGATTGTTTAAATACGATGTCACGCTAAAAAATAAAAAACTTAATTTGACTTAGAGAATTGGAGTTTTAAATTGAAAAATAATTTGGCAAAAATAAAACACTTTAGGAGATGAATTTAGGACTAAATCGGACGGGGCATCTTTCTTTGAAAAAGGGCGCTTTTGGGCGATCAATATCTTTTCAAAAACGTAACCAACTCCTTACTATAGAATCTCCGAACCGAGTGCCCATTTTAGGTTCCTATTTCTTTCAATACTAGGTGGCGACTCCAAACTCGTAAATAAATTTCATAAATAAATAAATCTTAAATTATAGATTTTTGTTTTAGTAGTCCCGTCCGACGTCGGGTAGTGACACAAACGACGATCATATGGATAATCGAGTAACTTTTCTACATATTTAATATTATCGGATTGGAATATCGTGGGTAAAACAACATGCCTATATTGCATGAAAAAATCGATGCTTTCAATATTTGTAATGGCGTAAAGACTTCTTGGTTTGATTATCATTATAAAGTTTTACCACAAAGTCATCCTTTTAGGAAGAACCGTAACACATTCAACGTAAATACAATTTCACGGACATTGCTCCCCGATCATGTCCGAAATTTTTTTTTACATGAAATACAAAATTAAGGGTTATTGAAAGCCACGTAAGAAGGTTTCAAAGAGTGTAACAATAGTATATTTAGAGTTTATGGTTAGAAGAAACGAAGTATATTTTGGGATCTTCCTTATTAGGTTTCTAATTTAATTTAGCATAATTTAGATATGATGCATATTTAAGAGAATATCTTTGACAATAAGTTTAATACGATTATAAGAGTGCTAGGAAAAACAAAAGACAATATAAACTCTGCAGAAGACTTGAAACTTTATTGTCGGTGGCTCGAATTAAAAAGAAATGAAAACTCTTAAAAACAATTTAAAGCATGTTACAATCTAGGAAAACAACAAAAAATACAATTGCTAGAATAGATTAAACAACTTCAGCTTTTTGATAAATATGCATCAAACTTGGCTAAGTGTGTCAATATGAACAACCTCGGATTGCATAAAATAAAAAATCATGACTATTATGTATTTATGCATAAGTTAATATCTATCGCATTTTGTGACCTATTACCGAGAAATGTTTGGCAAGTACTAACTAAGTTGAGCTTATTCTTTAAGAATTTGACATCTACTATCATTAAGGTTGACGATATGAGCCGTCTAGAGACTAATATACCTTTAATTTTATGTAAACTTGAGCTTATATTTTCATCGAGTTTTTTTGACTCAATAGAACATCTTTTAGTCCATTTGGCGTATGAAGCAAAAATAACGGGATTGGTACCATATCGATGGAATTATCCTCTTAAAAAGTAAATATATTGATTTTAAATCTTTTATTAATTTTGTTTTTAAAAATATTTCTTAACTAACATACGTATATAATGGAGGAATATTTCAAACTTAAAAAACGATGTAAAGAATAAAGCCAAAGTTGAAGGTCAATATGCAATGCATATTCGATTGACAAGGTATAAATGTTGTGTTCATATTACTTCGAGTCTCATATCCATACCAAGCATCGAAAAGTACCATATAACTTCGAGTATGTTTGAGAACTAAGTGAGGACATTGAAGGAATGCTTGCTATATTCAAATCGAAAGATTGATCTCTTGGTCGAACGAAATCACACGTGTTAACGGATGAAGAAAAACTTGCATCCCATAGCTACTTTTTATTGAACTGTGATGAGATGACACCTTACATTGAGTGAGTGCTAAAATTAGAAAAAAATTTTAATACAAAACTTCATCAATTATCAATTATTTATGTTAAGGATAACAAAAAATCTTATAATTATTTTTCCTTTTATGTTCGTCCAATTTTTGAATCCATGGAGTTGATCAACCAAGCCATCACAATAGAATTTTAGGCCTTTTATGTCTTGTAATTAGGGTCCGTATTTGCTGGTACAACAATCTCACCAATAAGATACCCAATCTTTCATTTTCCTTTAATCACAAGTAAAATAGATTGAAACCATTCACGAAAATTGGATCCGTTTAGTTCATGTTGGGTTATTTGTAAAGAGTGGGTAATTTTAGAGTTTAGGACAAAATTAGTGTTTTGAATTTGAGGGGTAGAGACATCGACAATAGATGATACCGAATCGGTCATTAGGTACACAATAGTGAACAAAGAAAGATGATGCAAAAAAAAAAAAAAGTATCAATTAGTGCCTACGGTTAATGCCAGCAAGAAAGCTCGGCTCGATACTATGAAAATAGAGAAGTTTTTGTATATAATATGTTTTGTCTTATTCTATACAATAGGAGCTATACAATATATAGGGTGATACATTCCCAAATATAGAAAACACAATTTTAGTTGACTAGTTAAATCCTTAAAATCTTTCTTCTAACTTTTCAACATTTCTTTCTAGGTCAAGATTGATGCTTATATAGTGTGGGTGGTTAGGGTTTTTGAGGAAAATCCTAACTTGCCATTCTTCCTTTCATTTTTTAATTCATCCTATCAATTTTTTATTTTTCTCTTCAAATCTCATTTTCAATTGAACTTTCTTAAATTAAACTCGAAGTTTACTTAGTTTCAATTTCTCATGTATTTTTAATTAGGTCACAAGTCTCAATTTTTCTATTTATTTCTCCCTCTTTTCTTTTCTTGTATTTTTTCTTTTTTGCTTCTTTTCCTTTTCTTCTCTTTTTTGTTTCCTTTTCTAAACTCCCCAAAATCATTTGTTTTGTAAAAAATCCTAACCTTAGTATATAAAAATTACACAATCAAGCAAATCAAACAAAACACATTTAATTTTTATATTTTTATATTTTTAGGAAAAATGTTTAAAAATAAAAAGGTCAAAGATTAGGGGATAACAAAACCCACAACAAATTTATTTCAATTTTCCACATCCAAACCTACATCAAATTAATTTCAATTTCCCACATTCAAACCCCCCGTCAAATTAATTTTAATTTCTCACATTCAAATCCACGTCAAATTAACCACATTTAAACCCACGTCAAATTAATTTCAATTTTTCACATTGAACCTCACATCATTAAATTTTGAATATTACCTTGAAATCTTGAATTGAGATGGAAATAGTAGCTGCATGGTTGAGATTGAGAGAAGAAGAAAAGTATGGAACTGATTCTGTGAAAGTCGAAACTCGAAAGTGAGAGAAAAAAGCTTGCATGACCGCGTGAGTGAGAAATTTTATCTGGTCAATGGGAAGGTTGGGACATAGATGAGTGAGAGTGGCTGACAGGTAAGACTGTCAAGACTCAATAGCGAGTGGCTGAGGTTTGAAAAAAGGAAGGCCAAGGGTCGTCTCTTCTCTAATCTACGCGAGCGTGATGGGTCTAGAGGGAGAGAAGCTACACAGAGCAAGGGTTGTGTTAACTTTATTAGGGTATGTATATAGAACATAAATATATTAAAGAAAATCAAATTCGAGTTTTCGGTATAACAGAATAAAAAAATTAAAAAACTCGATTTATTATTATTTTTTTTAATTTTGATTCAAAAACTCGAACTAAAATTAATATTTTGATTTGGTTTTTGAATTAAAATTGAATAGCGAACATTTCTTATAAGCAAACACCAATCTGATCGAACCATTGATATGTCTCTTCAATTTTCAAATAATAATGATTTTTATTTCTCCAGATTCAATCAAGCAATAACTTTAGGGAAAAAATTGCAGTCCTATTTTAAAGAGATATAGAAAGCAACGCAAATTGCAAATATGGTACATAAAATTCTTGCCATGTTCTAAACAATTTCCATTTGGTAGTTTTCATATTTACTAATTTTCCTAACAAACGCGCTTCACAAATCAAAATAAGTTTTCCACTACAGAAATAATGTTATTTTCAATGGATGAACGAAGTAAATAATTTGTTAAGTATAGTTAAATCACATAAAAAATTCCAGTTAAATTCAATTTTTTGTTTTTTTGGATGTCGTTTTCAATTAATAATAATAGATGATTCAATTAATTAAAACTCATGGATACGTTACCCGGCAAATCCTTTCGGGGTAACTCTAGTTTAAAGCCTTTCTTTCTCCACGTGGCTCCCCACTAAACCTCACCAGTCACTACTCTCTCTCCTGAAAAGATTGCTAAAACCCTGCTTCTAGGGTTTTCCTTCCATTTTCAGCTTCAGCTCAGCTCGAACTGAACTCCTTTTCCTTTTCTTTTCTGCTTAATTTCAGCAATTCCTTTCCAAAGAAAATAATCACCAGCAGCAGCAGCACCACCACCATGCTTTGATTTGACCAATAATTGAAAGACAACGATGTTGCTGCTGCGTTTTGCTGCATTTTTAGTAGTTTTTACTACTCTCCCGATCGCCGGTAAAACGACGTCACATTTGAGTACCGGACCTCACGTTGCTGATGTCAATATTCTGTTGCCTCCTAAAATGACGCGTCCTGTCGAGTATCGCCTTCAAGGAAGTGATGGCTGCTTTAAATGGTAATTACTAAAATAGGAAAAAAGAAAAGAAAAGAGCATCAAATTTTGCATTTTTTTTAAATTTTATTCAGTTATTAGTGATTTTAATTTTTTTTTTTTTGTTGTAAATTTTGTCAGGTCATGGGATCATCACGATATTCTATCTGTTATACCTGAGTATAATTTAAGCAGCAGCCATTGTTCAACGAGTGCACGGTTGAGATCAATTGCTCCCTTTATGGGTAGAAAGGAGACAGCTATTTATGCTGCTGATGTACACACTGGCATTGTAATTCGCTGCAAAGTTTTTATCGACAATATTTCCAGAATTCAAATATTTCATAATTCTATTAAACTTGATTTAGATGGTCTTGCTACTCTCCGAGTTCGTGCTTTTGATCGTGAAGGTACCTGATATGATATTGTAATGATGATAGTTGATAATAATTCATTGTTACTCTCACATTTCTCTTACATGTTTATTCACTTTCGGTATTCTGCTGGTTACAGATAATGTGTTTTCGTCATTAGTGGGATTACAATTCATGTGGCAGCTAATGCCTGAAATGGATGGATTGCCACATCACCTTGTCCATGTTCCTCTCAGGGATTCTCCGCTGAGTGATTGCGGGGGTTTATGTGGTGATTTAAACATCCAAATAGAACTTGAAGATAGTGTATGTCTACTGTCTGCTGCTTACCGTAGTAAAATGAGAAATATGATTGAGAACTATAATACATGGTTTAATCGATGATACATGGTGCAGGGTGTATTCTCAGATTTGTTTGCCGTGAAAGGAGTTGGAATTGGCCATGAGATTGTTTCTGTGCATTTGCTTGAGCCACAATTTAAGCACATGGCTGATAAGATTGTTCTAACTGTAGCAGAAGCCATGTCACTTGAGCCTCCCTCACCTGTTTTGGTCCTTATTGGTGCTGCTTTTCACTATACTCTCAAAGTCATTCGTGGAAATATTCTGCAAGGTTTCTTTCTTGAATCTCTTTCTTTTGCACTTAGTAGCATAATTTTTGTTCGGTTCATTGTCAAGTTTGATGACTCTGCTCGAAAGAGATATGGCTGTATAATACATAATTCCGAATTCCTTTTGCCAGTATCAACTTCTGATTCTATCATTGGTATCGCTTAAAACTGAATATAAGATTGGATGAGAAATAAGACCAGTAAGGATTTGGCATCTTTAGTTTTTTCTCTATTCTTCTTCTTCTTGTTTTTTTTCCCTTCACCTGATTTGAGCGATGGATCAAATTTTTTCGGTTCAGATTACCAACTCTATATGGCACCACGTGCACTTTGATGGTAATTGAAGCAAGTTTCTTCTATTTGAACTGCATAGTTGTTATTTTATATTCTTGTCATTTGTATTAAAAAAAAAGAAAAGGAAAAACAGATGAAGATAATCATCGGATTGTTGTGCGTTTCTCTTGCTACTTCAGCTGTAAACTGGATGATGTTCTTGTCTTGATTTCTGTAACTGATTTAAGAGATGCTCTAAAACGAAATTCTACTTAAGTTTTTAATAAGATGATTGTTTGTGTTCAGTTTGAACTTTGCACGTGGGTGAATATTATTGAGGATGAATGGTGGAAACTAGTTTTATTGAAGGGTAGTGTCAGTTGGAAATCTTTTCTTGGGTTTCAGTTTGGAGTAGGATATCTATTATTCAATTCTTGAATTTTATGTACATAAAAACCACACCTTGGCCTGTGCTATGTTGGCTGTCTTCCATGAACTGTGTTGGCCTCTTAAGAGTTGCATGACTATTTGCATCTGTTTGCACTGTCAGCTTTATTCTTAAATATGTTGGCATTTTGCAGTGGTTGCTCTACCATCTCCGCATCATAGGTGGTCTGTTTTGAACTCTTCGGTTGCAGAAGTGGACTACATGTTAGGCTTTGCTCATGCACTGAGCTTAGGGGTAACTTCTGTCATTGTTGAAGATACTAGGGTTGCTGGTCACATGCAAGTTTCATCACTTAGTGTGGTTCTACCTGACACTTTATGCTTGTACATAATGCCTTTGTCTGTTTCTGGAGATCCTGTTGATGGATTGAAAGCTGTTCCATCCTCAGCACGTTGGTTTGTTGTTTCTGGTCGACAATATCTTATTCAAATGAAGGTTTACTTGGGAGCCTCTGATGCACAAGAAATCTATATTACAGAGGTAACTCCTAAATTGTTCTGGGATCTTAAAATTACATCAGTTATGATGTATGTAGTTCGAAGTTGTAACTTGTTGGAATTCTTTTCGTGGTGGTTTTCTCTTTGGTCAATTGGCTGGCTGTGTTACATGACAGGTGGAGTCCTCTCTCCTCCTTACCTGATCCCCTGCAGCTGCGCTGCCCCATAAGAAAATGAACCGTATAATGGTTGTGTATCATGGTTGGTTTTTGGACTTATTCTGGACCATATCTGTTGAGCCATAAGGAATGAAGAAAAATGACTCAACTTCTTCCTTAAATTCACATTATTTTTATTTTGTGGGTAACAGCTAGATGTTAGTAAATCTGTGTTAAATGAAGTCTTGAATGAGCAGCCCGAGTGGCTGCTAAAGATAGATCATAGGTTGAAACTGTACCGTAAAGTACTTGTGAGAGTAAAAGGATGATGTGTTGAACCCAGTATCTTTGCACCACTTAAAATGGATCTTTATGTACAGGCTAGGTGGCATCCACAAGGCATGGATTTAGATTTGTTTTGGCCCCAGAAAATGGAGTAACTCGCGAATTCTTTATTCCTTTTCTTTCCATTTCTAAGTTTTGATTGTATCTTGGAAGAAGTTGAGTGATTCATTCGTCATATGGAAAAGCAATTTCATAACATTGTTCATAGCTGTTATCTCTTCATTATTGTTGCACGCAAAATGTGAGACAATGTTAAGGTGGTGAGCATTATCGATTATATAAGTGCATGCTGTGTATTTCAGCTGATTATTTCTCCCTTGAAAGTCTGGTTAAATAACTGCTTTTATTGTGATAGAAGAATTATTGCAATTAGATGTTTTACCTTGTATTTTCCTAAATTACAAGAAGAGTCATAATGCTATTGGAACTCTTCTAAAATGAATGTTGAAACGTTTTTGAACCTCTTCATGTTCATTTTTTTCTACTCACCCTCTTGCATTTCCACTTTCCTGTTATTTTCGAGTTCAAGTTGTGCTTGAAAGTTTGCTGGTTTGATTCTCTTCAGACTTCTTTGATCTCAGGCATAATTTTTTTTCCGGCCAAATGTTCTGGTGGTACTCTCTCCTTATTTTCTTGCTCATCATTCCTGATAAGTTCCCTGCTTTTACAGAGTGATGATCTTAAGTTGCACAATGAGCAGTCTGAATACTGGATGGTTTTCTCGTTATCAAAGGATATTGTGGAGAAACATGGCTGGCAGAATTCTAGAATTCTGAGAGCAACTTCCCCGGGTCTAGGAAAACTAACAGCTTCTTTAAATTATACTAGCGGGCACCAAGAGAGAAAAGAGGTGAGACTTTATAGTACTCCTTTTCTTAAATTTCATTTTCTCCTTTTGCTTGTTATTTTTGCATGGTTCTGTAGCCTTTGCTGAGCTGCTGTTTATATCTGGCTCTGCTTTCTCTCATAGGTTCATAAGGTTGTGCAAGAAATCATGGTATGTGATCAAGTGAAGTTCAGTTTGGATGGAGCAAGTGGTACCCATCACAAAATTCTTCTTCCCTGGACCCCTACAATTTACCAGGAGGTGGAGCTAAAGGCAACAGGAGGTTAGTCACTTTCTACCTCTCAATCTCAGTTGTCAAAGTGTTTAATCTGCTTCTGAATATCTTGAGGGTAACTGAAAGCTGTTATTTTTTGTAGGCTGTGCAAAAACATCCAGTGATTATAAATGGTTTTCTTTAGACATGGCTACTGTTTCGATATCTCCATTTGGGGTTCTTCAGGCAAAAAAGCCTGGTAAAGCGACTGTTAGAGTAGTGTCCATTTTTGATTCTTCCAATTATGATGAGGTAATAATATCATGGCTCTCGTTTATTAAGACAGATAGTTGGCTGGCACAAATCTTAAGCAGTGTTTTCAACTTTTATTATCTTCATTATGAGTTTTGCTATTTAAAGATTGTGGGTTTAGAGTTTCTTGCACTTTCACAGGGTCCATGACATGTTTTGCCGTTGTACTTTTCCAATTCTAGTGTAGCTCCAGTACTTCTCTTCTTTTTATTGTTATGTATGTGTATAAATGTTGACAATTCATGTAGTCCTTCCCTCCAACAATGTCCTGAACAGAGACATACATAGTAATCTGATACCTCAATCTACATATTTGCCAAGTGACATGACAACTTGACCCATCTTACCATACCAACAACACTAGACAATAATGGCAAGACCCAGCCAAAAAAAAAAAAAAAAGAGGCATATTGATGCTGCTAACTTGTGTCAGATATCATATACTTCTACTTTAACAACTGGCTTAATAAATGGGACCTTTTCAAAAAGATTAGCACAAAAAATACTCTTGAATTTCTTATGCAAATAAAATTTGAACCATTGGGAAAAAAATCAATAGGCAAGAAATATAAAGAAAATCAAATTCTCCTAGTGAAGGGAAAGTGAACAGCTAAGAAAGTACCAACAAGCTTGTAGCTCAGTGGTAGTGGTCTCTTGTAACAAGAGGTCATGGGTTCAAATCCTAGCAGAATAGTGCTAGGAGCCTTGTGTGTGTGTGTGTAAAAAAAAAAAAAAAAAGGCTAAGAAAGTGAAGGAAAATGGAATCCTGGTGATGAGGGAAGAAGCAAAAATCTGAGTGACAATATCAACAATGTAAAGAGAAATCGAAAAGAAGTAACTTACTGTCGACTTGACTTTCTCTGTTTGTCTCAGAGGAGAGAATGATAGAAAATGCTTCCTTCATTTGCAACCTATCCTTGAGCTGCACACTTATCACTTGGCACAGCATTATAGGTACAACATTGAAGGTCTCTTAGTTAGGACTTATCACATTTTTTGCTTTGTAATTGGCATCTAACTTTGTATTCAAGACCTTGTTTGTTATCACTTTCTCTTTATAGAAATTCTGATGGGAAGTTTTGGCAAGTCATTACCTTCAAATTGTAGCTTTTGTTCTGTTATTTGAGCTTTGTGGAAGCCTAGTAGTTTTACCCCACAAACTAGAAGCTCAAAGAAAGAAGGCAGGCTTTGACTAGGTGGAACAGCGCAAGCTACTCAATTGAAAAATGAACTTTCCTTGCTTCAGAACTTCTGCACAAATACACTATGCCACCATCAGCATCAAAGTTTATAAAAAGTGGATTAGGGTAGAATTGGAACTGAACTGTTATGTTATTGAGTCTGATGGAAGTCTAGTATTTCCAGTTGCAGCACGAAGGATTCAATTTGGTTCTTATTTTTATTATCAAATAAAATGAAACCTATTTAAAAGATTACCCCAAATCAAAAGCTAAATAAAAATATGAGTAATTGTTTTCTTCTTTAATGTTTATATGTAAGCAGGTCATGTCAGAGTTCTGTTCTTTTTTTCGCAAATCTTTTAAGTGGGTCCCATCATGCTTGCATGGCAACATAAATCAACTAGTCATTACAGTGGCGAACAGATAGGTTGGTGTGTCAACCTCCAAAGTGGAAGTTTGTCATGTGTGAATCTGCTAACTGTGGTGGATGGATTACTTTAATCCCAGAAGTATATTTAACAGGACTACCTTAGCTAACGTGCACATAGACCAAAAATTTATTCCTAGTTGTTAAAAATATAGTGTGAAATCAAAGCTTTGCAATATTTAAATAGTTTTTTATTTTATTTTGTTTTATTCCGTATGCATTGAATTGCTCCTATTATCCGAGTACAATGCCGTGCCTTGAATTCTATTTTTAACATGTGATGCAGCATACAGTGTCTGTCCATGCTTTTCATTTAGTTGTTCAATTTATATTATTTTGAGTGCATTGGCATGGGCTATTAGCACCTGCTTATTATCCTTAATGTGACTAGAGGTGTAATCTTAGCGGATTTCCATTTTTTCTTTCTTTATTGGGCCTTTGAATTTAATTTATTGACCTCATCTTTTTTATGAGGCACTAAGGAACATGGATTAAAGATTATGTATTTATTTCCCAAAGCCTCAAAATATATGTATTTGTTTGAAATCTGTTTCCCTCTTGCATGTCATGACCATGTCAATATGGAGTTTCTTGTCAATCTCTTCGATAACAATGCTGCAATAACTAGATATGTGAGATTTTGTTCAACAATGTTCATGCTTGAAATCCTGTTATCTGGGTTACTTCCTTGTACTCCCTTGATAAATTTCATCTTTATGAACTAATATATTCTTTTCCTGTTAGGTGGTCATCGAAGTTTCTGTACCATCATCTATGATTATGCTTCAAAACTTTCCTGTAGAGACTGTTGTAGGATCACACCTTGCAGCTGCCATAACAATGAAAACATCAGATGGTGAAGTCCTTTCCCAAAATCATCAGGAATGTGCTTATGGTTAAAAATGATTTCACTTTCATGTTCTTTTGTTAAAGTCAAATTCACGTTTGCAGGTGCCTATTATTATAGATGTGATGCTTTTCATTTGTTCATAAAATGGAAAGTTGGAAGTGAGTCTTTCATAATTGTCAACATGACAGAGGAGGAATTTATTGTAGAAAAACTAGGAAGTTTTCACCTCAATGAATCATTTTATGGTCCACCATGTTCATGGGCCTATGTATACGCTTCCAGTCCTGGGAAGACCATGCTGCAGGCAACCTTGTCGAAAGAATACCATCACTTGGATCAATCGATACATGGGCTCATTAGTTTGAAGGCATCATCACATATTGCAGCATATCCACCACTTACAGTGCATCAGGTGGTAGATGGGAGCCAATTTGGTGGTTATTGGTTTGATTTGGGTCATGTTGAAGCAAGCAATCAACTAGCGAATCTGGATAGTTTGTATCTTGTTCCTGGAACAAGTTTAGATATTATGCTTCTTGGTGGACCGGCACCGTGGGACAAAGGTGTTGATTATCTTGAAGCGGTGGAAATATTGGGTGACAAGCATGCTTCCAGTAAAGATGGAATTCGTGTGCATCAGATTTCTGGCACCTATCAGAGTATGTACAGAGTATCATGCCAAAGTCTGGGAACATTTGTAAGTTATATATTCTCTGCTGGAGCTATAGACTATTGTTGTTCTTTTTCTCTTGTGCATCTGTATTGTGCTCTATTTACTACGAAAGCCATAATATTTTTCTTTGTTTGGTACAACTCAGGATTTGGTTTTCAAACGCGGGAATTTGGTTGGAGTTGACCACCCTTTGCCTGCAATAGCAGAAGTTGCTGTGTCTCTTTCGTGCAGTTTTCCTTCTTCAATTGCACTGATAGTTGATGAACTTGGTGAATATTTAAATTATTTACACCAGACATGCAATGACAAAAAATTATAATTTTATGATGACTTACCTTATGTGCTATTGGCTGAATTTGTGGCACTCTTCAGTTAACAGACATCCCAACCAGTTTGGTATTGAGACTTGTTTTTTTTTTTTTTTTGTTCAGTTAACAGAGACGATGCCATAAGGGACGCAACTCTTGCTGATCATAGTAGCACAGGGAAAGTCCGTACCACACCTGTTACTGTGGCAAATGGGCAAACTATTAGGGTGGCGGCAGTTGGCATAGGTGTTTCTGGAGAAGCTTTTGCAAACTCTTCTTCTCTTTCTCTGAAGTGGGAGTTGAGCGGCTGTGAAGGACTGGCGTACTGGGCTGATACGTATGAGTTTCAGAGATCTAAATCCAGTTGGGAGAGATTTTTAGTCTTGCAAAATGAATCAGGACAGGTAATGCCATAACTTGATGGTTTATTTGTTTGTATTTCATATCTTTGTTTCACATGCTGTGTGTTTCTTGCTTTTCTTAAATTGCCTTGAGTTTTATTCAAAGGATTTTTATTTTTTATTTTGAAAAAAGAAACTTGATTTCTGCATAAGACTGTTTCAAATGTATCTTCATGAACAAATATGCACACACACACGCATGCACATACCCCACTCCACATACACTCAATGTTCATATGTGCATACATGCATGAAAGGGATGAAAGGCAAATAGTACTGGTAAGTGTCGTAAGGAGTAAGCATTCCCAATATTGTCAGTTCTGTAAATCTGTGAATTACACTCTCCTCAAATAATGAAAATTCAAACTCAATGTTTTCAGTGTATTGTCCGTGCCACTGTTATTTGTCTTGATGATGCCCTGGGTAGTCATTATTTGACTCAGATGCGAAGCCTAGAGAATGTTCTTACAGATGCTGTGAAGTTACAGGTATGCTCTTGTGGTGCTTTGCAGGAAAGCTCAGATAATAGTTTATTAAGTTGGGCCTCATGTTATGCTCCCATGTGTCTTCTGTACATGTTCTGTTCATATTGATCATTTATTGTGGTCTTAAGTTTGACTCCTATATTTGTATAAATATGCAGCTTGTTTCTTCTTTGAGAGTCAATCCAGAGTTCAACTTGTTGTACTTCAATCCCAATGCGAAGGTAGATTCCAGTGCCAGACTAATAATTGCTTGTGCCACCTACTTTTTTTAATAAATATAAACTACCAGTGTCTTTCTAGCTTGTTTAATGACTTATGTGTGACTTTATGACTACTTTTTCCAAGGGAGGGAGTAGTAATGTTTTGCACAAGCAGGCCATTTTTATCATAATATTGCCTGTTTTGCTATTTTTACTTGAGCGGAAAACAGACAAATTTGTTGTTTGTTTGCAGGTTATGTTTTTATGATGCTAATAAAAAATTGTCACTCAAATAGATGAATTATTGATGCTTTATATTACTGGATTTGTATTTAGTTACTTGCAACTGTAAGAGATTTATGACTTCAGAAATTGGATTGCTTAATAAAATGAATGAGTTGACAACCTCTCTGATTGATGTTATTGTAACTTTTCTGCGCTAAAAAAGGATAACTGAAAATAACTCTTCCTATGCAATATGAAGTGCTCAAGGCTGCAACTCAACTTCCTGTGCAATATAAATGCTCAATGCTCCCTTCCAACTAAATGTCTTCAATTTTTTTTCCTGCCTCATGTTGTGTGTGTCAAGCTGGACCTGTGCATTTTGACATCAAGTTCTGTGTATCAAGGACAATTCAACATCTAACTCTAACACGAAAGTTGCCATATTGATTGACATATATTTGCAACAATGGTTAGAAAAGCTTCAATAGAGAGTTGCCCCTGTTTGGACCCAATTTCTGCAAAAATGAGTTGGTTTCTCATCAGCTAATATCTTTCCCTCAGAAATGTTATTTGTATCCTTTTCTTTTTGAATGAATTGTATCCGTTATATTGAAAGCACATCGCTGATTGAATATGAGCTTGCTAAGTGCACAAGGCATCTGGTCCAAATAGCACCTTTGATGTGCTGCTCAGTCATTTTCATTGAAACATCTTTTTTCTTATTTATGATAACTGTTGTTTTGAGGTAGGATAAATGATGTTAGTTGACCTTTTTTGAGTCCATACTACTTGTGTGGTTAGAGTTGTGCCATTAACTATTGCATGTAATAGGTATGTTCAAACTTCAATCTCATTGATTTGGTTCCAAATGCGTAAGGTATATAATATTACTTGAGAGTTGAGACAACTTGCTTGAAATCTGACAATTGCTGTTCTGTTACATTTCTATTGGTTCTGAGGAGGATTTAGTTTATGATCGAGCCAGATGAAACAAAAATAGCAGACTCCAACTAGTTTGGGTTTGAGTCTTAGTTATTGTTGTTGTTACTATATATCCCTTAGTTTATGAATTTCAGGCTTCCAAATCTAACACAAGCATTATTGCTATTTAGGTAAATCTTTCAATTTCTGGAGGGAGCTGTTTATGGGAAGCTGTTGTGAATGATTCTCAAGTGGTAGAGGTTACTCAGCCCCCAACAGGCTTACAATGCTTTCAGTTGGGGCTTTTTCCTAAAATGTTGGGGACTGCACTTGTGACAGTATATGATATTGGGCTTATTCCTCCTACTTCAGCTTCTGCCGTGGTAATGTGTTTCTTCTATTTTCTTTCTATACAGTTATTCATGTGAAATTTGTCATTTTTTATGAAATTGCCACTGACACTGGTTAACCTTTTATTTTCTAAAGTATATATAGAAAGTTAGTAGACTATGTATATGGTGTGTTTGGTAATGCGTTTACAGTGTTTTTGCAAAAGTTGGGTGCTTTCCAATGGTTTTTGACATTCAATCAAAGATCAAACCAACCAAAAGCATCCAAAAAGCATTCATTTGATGTTATTCAATCAAAGATCACTTTGGAAACACATTATCAAACACACATTAAAGGTGTCATCTATTTAATAGATAAATCATTCACAGAAATTCCTCTAAAAAAAATGCCCTGGTGATAAGAGGATTTTTTTCCTCAATCATACTGGTTAAACTTGACAAATTGCCACTATCATTGAATTGAGGAAAGCATTAAGAAATGCTGTATTCCCTTACAATAGTTTTGAGATTTTCTTAGGCAGCAAAACGAATTCAATCCATCCTTTCCCCTGGAATTTGTATTCTTTTCTTCAAAGCATGCTTCATGCTGTATCATGGCATTGTTATTCTCTTATATTTTTATGTTTCACCAATTAAATTAGGATTCAATGCCTAGACGTAGATGTTATTTTGGTGAACAACAATGATACCATGCTCCTGTCATGCTTGACTGGCACCCCTTTCAGTCTTTTCAATGGTAATCGTTTACCTTACGAAGTGTTGTTATCGCAAAATGCCTGCCAATACTTGTTATTTCTACCTAAATATGTATTACATAAATGCAATGATGTTAATGAACAGATGTATAGAATCAGCTTCATAAGACTAACTTCCCTATTTACAACATATGTTTTTTGAACAGTGGATCTAATATTCATATGCAAGGATAGTAATGCATATATGGATCTAATTTTCTACACCATTCAGAGAGCATTAATTGTTATTCCCTAAGGACTTTTTTATGTGCCCCTTAGTTATACATACTCCGTATCAGCACATCAATTTAAGTAATATCTTGTGTGTCCTGTTCAATTATCCCTTGGGCTTTATAAACTCTCAGATGCTTCCACTTCTTTTCTCCTTCAGTTATTTACTTGTGATATTAATATCGCCTTTATTCTTGTATTTTATATTCTATTTCACTTGTGGAGTGTTTCATGGAAGTATTGCAGGTTCAAGTGGCTGATTTAGACTGGATTAAGATAGTATCAGGAGAACAAATAAGCCTCATGGTGCGTTTTATGGTTTCTGGTTGACACATAAAGACACATACATACCTGTTGTTGAACTAGTATTCATTTCTTATGTTAATTTCTTCAGGAAGGAGAGTCACAACCCATATATCTAATGGCTGGGATTGATGATGGGATTGCTTTTGACTCTCATCAGGTTTGGATTGATACAATTAATGCTATTTGGGGAGCTATTAGTATTCCTGTTCTGGCCCCTGCTTTAACTGGACCTAGTTGTCAACGTATTTGATATTTGTGTGGCCATGCATTTGGAAATATACACTGATTTGCAAATTTTCTTGACCTAGTTTATCTCTCCTGTTTGATCTTTTCGTTACTTGCTCAGTTGTCTTATTCTTTCTTATCCCCCACTTTGTATTATGCTATTTACTTGATCTTAAAATTTTTTCTAGAAAAGAATATGGTCTCTGTGTTTGCATGGCCCTGCAGACAGTTGAATACACTTACCCTTGTGCGACAACCTTTTTAATCCTCATAATCTCAATGCTTGTGAACTTTTGGTGCAGTATGCCTATATGAAAATTCATGTGCATATCGAGGATCCTATAGTTGAACTTGTTGACAAGAATGACATGCTGAGTGCTGCCAGTGGATGTATTAATGCTCCAAACTTTACAATAATTGCTAAAGATATTGGATTCACAACTCTTTATGTAAGTTCCTAGTTTGATATCATGCCTTTTTTTTATGCATATGCATAGTTCATTTCTCTTTTCTGTGTTTTATTGTAAGACACACACGCACAAACTCTCTCCTTTTTTCCCTTTGTTCTTTTGTCATGTTTATTGATTCAGAGTTTCAGAATATGTAAGTTTATGGGTAGACCTTGAAATCAGGTTAGTGCTAGACAGCAATCTGGGCATGAAGTATTGAGTCAGACAGTAAAGATAGAAGTATATGCGCCACTGAGAATTCATCCAGATGATATTTTCCTGGTACCAGGTGCATCTTACATGGTATGATCCACAATCTGGTTGTGTATCTTAAAATGTATCAAAATATGTCCTATCTGATTATTGATTTATTGTTCTTTTTGATGTTCTTCATATATTCAATAATACTTTTTATTGCTTAGCTCGCTATGAAAGGGGGGCCAACAATTGGCGTATATTTTCAGTATGCTTCTATGGATGATGAAATAGCAACAGTGGACAAATCTTCTGGACGTCTCTATGCAATTTCTCCTGGAAACACTGTAAGACCCAGCTGTTAGCATCTTGTAACAATTTTCATGTGTTGACTCTGAAATGCTACATAGATTAGATTAAGACTTGATGAGTTGAGTATCTTGCAAGGCTATTATTTTATGTACTTGGTGTTGTATAGTTTCTATCATTTATCATATACATGATCTTCAATGTCTGCATGAAAGTAGATCCAGTAAATTGAATTGAGTTGATTGACTAGGTTTCTGCTGAATGAACTCTTCTCTTCCCCCCATCATGCTATGCATTTCTGTGTGCATGTATGGACTGTTTATAGTTGACTAGCGGTTCACTTGTTTGCATGCATCCATCAACCATTCTGAAAGAAATGAATTCAGATTGGCAATTTTTCCACCAGAGGATATCGATGAATAACAGAATGAGTTCTGCTTATTTCTTTTGAAAAGTTGAGTTTAGAATGTGTTCCTGTATGCTTACCTATTTTTTGTTTCCTATTGTATATAATTTCTTCAGTTGGAGCTTTTGGAAATTAATAGTTTTTACATGGATTTGTTATCTATTTTGAATTTCATATAGACTACGATCAGGTTGGATAGTTCTAATCCCCTTGGTCCTTACTTAGCCATTTGATTCATGTCCACTGTCAGTACAAGTTAGGAAGATGATGACTCCTTATTCATTATGTATTATGCTTTACATTTTGTGCATTTGTTTTTGTGACCAGACAATCCTTTCCACGGTGTTTGGGAATGGAGGTGTTATGGTGTGTCAAGCGAATGGCAGTGTTAACGTTGGAGTTCCTTCTTTGGCAATGTTGAATGCACAAAGCGATCAGCTTGATGTTGGCCATGAGATGCCAATATATCCATCATTTCCTGAGGTGAAAATTAAAAGTCAAAAGTACTTTATTAATTTATGCATCAGTTCTTGGAATGTGACTGGCTCACTTGTATTGTCAGGGTGATTTGTTTTCATTTTATGAGCTCTGCAGAAGTTACCAGTGGACCATAGATGATGAAAAGGTTAGGAGGAAATGGTTTCATATGTGTTTCAGATTTCTTTTCTTCTCATATGTCTGGAGATAGTAAGATGTTGTGTACTGATTAAATTTAGGTGTCGAGTTTTGACATGGCAGAAAGCTTACATGCTGAAAAGCATTGGTACCCGTTGGATGATGAGCAAGAATTTGATTTTATTAAAGTCTTGCATGGAAGGTTTGTTATGCTAAATATTTTGAGACAAACTGATAAAGCAAGGCTTCTTCTATTATGCATTTATAACTTTTGATTTTTTCCCCCCACTCAGATGTCTTAAATTTAAACCAAACTTTCATCTTATACTTTTTTCCTTTTCTGCCCCTGTGATCTATCCTTGATATTCCCATGAACATGGCCACACCCTCTGTCTCGATTATTAAATTTACTACTTGGGACAATTAACAAAAACTGAGATTCATAAGTTTCATCACATGATCCAAGTATCTACCTAATTCTTTTGATTCTTGATGATTCGTTATGGCAATTATGGTGTAAATATAGAAAGTTCGTATGTTAACTAAGTTAGGGAATTCTGTCTCTTTGTACAGTTTATACTTCCTAAATAGGCTTGTCTATTTACTATATATGTAGGTTGTAACTCTTTGTATTACAGACAGCAATACAACTATTATTCTCTTCTTCCATATTTTTCTACAGCAATGTTTCTGGCCCAATGATGGGTGAATCCAAATTGCCATTCTAATGCTGTATAGGCCACATCATCTGACTGTAAATGGCCCTTTTCTTTTGGATTAATACTTTTCATTGCTAAGCTTGAAACAGTTCTTGAGATTCTCTTTTATTAGTCTTATACTAAAGATAACTAGGAAATTCAAACCATAATAAGTAGTCGAGGTAAACTATTTCAGGTGTCCTCTTTGGTCAAGGAAGTATTGTCCCTCCTTTTCTCTCTAGTCCTCCTGTTGAAATTCTTGATGGACCTGAGATGTAAGTTTTGGAATATTTCGCTCTTGGTTCCTTGTGATTGGCAGCTTTAGCAGCATTGTTGATGGAATAGGTCCTTCTCATTGCTTCTGCTAATCTTTCTTCCTTCAGTAATGGATTGTTGTTGGACGTCAGGCAATAACAAATTAACTTGGTGTTACAGCACAACTTTGGGTTAGAGAAAACCAAGCGGTTCTTCACTTTTTGATGGGATATGTTGTGAAATTTGACCCCATAGAAAGTTACTTATTGATGCTGCATCCAGATATTAAATATAGGTTCTAGGAGTTTGCAAATTACGCTGTTGTCATAGAAAGTTAGTCTTTCATGGGTATATGGCATGATTTATGATCTTAATGCACAAGTGTCTAGTGCTTATTTGCTGTAAGATTTAATGTAAATTTCCTCAGAAAGCATGGCTATAGTAAAATTTTGATTTTAATTGTGAAACAAGTAGTTCTCATAACATACTTTGAATCTTTTTTACATTAATTTGCTCTAATTCTGCCTTCTTATCTACCATGTAATCTTATTCATCTCCTGAGCAATTATTGCTGCATTCCAGATCTGCAGGCAAGGCAAATATCACAGTTACATTCTCTTGTGATTTCGCCTCTGCTTCATACTCACAGTCGAGGCTTTATGATGCTGCTTTATCACTATTGGTTGTGCCTTCTCTCCCTCTTGCTCTGGGAGTTCCAATGACATGGGTTCTTCCTCCTCATTATGTTACATTTAGCCTTTTGCCCTCATCTCTGGAACCACATGGTCAGACTCGTAGAGGAACGATTATCTATTCGTTATTAAGAAGTTGTGATAAGAATGAAATTTGGAAAAAGGATGCGATTTCTATAGACGGAGATAGAATAAAAACAACTGAGAGTAACAATCTTGCATGCATACAAGCCAAAGATCGAACCACTGGAAGAACCGAGATTGCTTCTTGTGTCAGGGTCGCTGAGGTATTTTTCGTTTCTTCTCCAGGATTACCTTTTCTAATGTGGTATTTTTTATTGTTTATTTATTTAGTTGTTATTTATTTGTATTTGATTATCCAGGCCAAGTCTTCTAAATTTTCACCATTAACTCAGCTTTAAAGTAACAGGTCGTATAACATGATTTTGGAGCTTGGTTAAGAATATCATCGTACCATTTTCTAACAGTGGAAGCTTTTTGTAGAGTAACCTGTCATAGATGTTAGATTTGTCTAACAACTTTGCACCGATACAGAAACACGGCTGAGATTCAAGTTGTCTTGAATATTTCCTTAATACTTGAGAGGAACCTGGGCTGAAAATAAACACATCTCGTATAATGCATCCTTGTGAACCGCTAATGGTGATTGATGTGACGTAAGAATTTACATACTGATTTTTTTCAAATAATGACTTCGTTTCTTTGGCAAAATGTGGAATGCCAATGGTGAATCATCTTATGTTTGTTGCTTCCTTTCAGTATTTCATATGCTTTTCATTTTATATTTGAAGACATTGGCATCTATGTTCCTGACAAATTTACTGGTCTCAGTGACTTATTTTTTGATACTGGGCTTTTTCGTCAGGTGGCTCAAATAAGAATAATGAATAGGGACCCCCCATTCCATGTAATTTATCTCGCTGTTGGTGCCGACCTCGATCTTCCAATAAGCTATTTTGATGCTTCAGGTTTTGATGACCAACTTATATATCTCACATTTTACTGACAACTTATATTTTACATTTTAACTTTCTATCTTGTAATTTTTCTTGACCAGGGCATCCCTTTTATGAAGCATATGATGTCATTTCCTATCATGCTGAAACCAACTATCATGACATTGTCTCCATTGGTCATACAAGAAATGGCAATGGGGCTATCCATCTGAAGGTCTGTTGATGAAGTTAGCTGACATGTTAATTGTTAATTGCTCCTATGCTATCAACAAGCTGCCAAGGGCTAAATATGGCTTGGTCTTTTGCCATTTTCAATTGTTAATTTATGCTCTTGATCATGCAAACTCCATTTCTGTATGTGCAACAATTTTCTTTTGGCATCTGCTAAGTTTCTGCCTGCCAGTGCCTTATGTATGACAGTTCTTATATTAATTTCCTGTTGAAGGCATTGCGACATGGTAGAGCTCTGGTGCGAGTATCAATGAACAGTAATCCACGAAAGTTTGACTATGTACTGGTAACTATTTGCCTCCTTTTCAACTCCAGAACCATCTTCAATGAATAAGTAATTGGTTGCTATCTAGCTGTGGCTGATCTATTTTCATTCATCCAATATTGAAAATCATTGTCTTTATTGGGAAAGGAGGAAGAATTTGCATCAAGTGCTTACTATCCATGCTAGCTTGCTTAGTTACAGATTTTTCTGAAGCACAGTATACTCTTCCGTGTAAAATGAATCTTTCTATTTTCCTTCTTCCTTCTTCTGTGAAGCACAATATATCATGAAAATAAATTTCCCCTCTTTTCCTTCTTTTTTTGATGTGAAAAAAACCTTTTTTTTTTTCCCCCTCAAATGTGATTATTAGTTATGAGTCTTATGACCTTATAAGACCCTTTGAATGGGTCATCAGCCACAAACATGGAGATGAAAAACTAATGTTTTGTGAGTGCAATACTTGGAGCAGCATAGCTCAGCATGTGATCATTATCATTTCTAGTGACCACTCTATTCAAGATTTACTGTTGCACTTGAGTCACCAAATCTTTCATTTGTCAGATTTTAGTTGGTGCTCACGTATATCCTCGAAACCCTGTCCTTCAACTTGGGAGTTCGCTTAACCTCAGTGTAATAGGTGAGCCTATATTCCGTTCTTGGAAGTTCCCTGTTGTTTTCTTCTGAAAATGCATTTCCAAGTATCTGTGATTTTGTTTGAGGGAAAAACGTCTTTTCATCATTTCCTCCTCTTGTGATAATTCATCAATTTCTCTTTTTGTGGTAGGCATTGATGATCAAGTTTCTGGTAGCTGGCATAGCGCTAACGAAAGTGTCGTTTCTGTAGACATTCAATCTGGAAAAGCTGAAGCTTGTGGGACAGGTTCAACCCATGGTATGGAAGAAATTGGTCTTCATAATGCTAAACCTGCATTTTTGCCTAATTTGGCAGCTATGATTTGTCATAATTGGAATTTCTTGTTTATGAACAGTATTTTTCAAATGTCCAAGTATGAAATTGCAAACGGCAATTACAGTGCTATCAGGAAATATTGTTTCCATTTATGCCCCAAAAGAGATCCTAACAAACATTCCTTACCCAGCAAAAGGATATAGCTTCCCTTTGAGCTTAAGGTTTGTAAGCAAGCGTATCTTATACTGACCATGATATATGATTGCTCATTTTTTCAAGCAACTTTGCTGTAGAATTTAAAGGTGATATTTTGAATATTTTGAATTAGTTCTCTTGTTGAATCTTTGTAAATGGATTTGCTCTGCATGTTGTTTTGTGAAATTTAAAGAGTTTCGGAGCCTTGAGATTGCAACAGTTTTTTTTTTTCCTAATCACTTTGTCAAGGGAAATCAACCATCTAATGTTGATAAAGGCAGGTTTTGAGAACCCTTTATAACTTTTATAATGTGCGAATTTACAGTTCATTCAGTTTTGTTTGGAAATATTGTCCGTTGTAAATTAGTGTGCTTTGTAGCACTGGATAATATTCATGTCATTTAAAGAATGCCGATGACCACTGTTGATAGTCACATCTATAATACCAACTCCAAATAGTTACATCATAGATCCCTGCCAAACTGACAGATACTGTAAGTATTGATTTGATGTCTTTTTCCTGGATTATATTTGTTGTTCGAACATAGTTCATAACAAAATTCTGATTCTGGAACATGGTTTCTAGCTCTGGTGGTATTAGGAAACCTTCACTGTTAATGATCATAAAAATCTATTAGACAGCTTTAAATTGGAACATTAAATATCCTTCACAAACTAATGTATATCCTGTTGCGCTGGCTTCGTTTGAGGAAAAATGAATCCAGCAGCATACTTGTGGTCAATAAATCCAATCAATTTAATTTGTCTTGATCTATTATAACATTTGTGTTTAGCTTTTTTGCCTCATAAATAATTGGTTTGCACATAAATATTGGGTTGCTTAAGCCCATTGGACATTGGCATAATGTCTGTGCTTTATTGGAACAGTGATACCTATGACAAGCTTGAAGTTCTTGGAAACAGTAAGGGAGTATCGTATGACTGCAAGGTTGATCCTCCTTTTGTGGGGTATGTATCTTGACTCTTCTTGTTCTGTAGATCTTATAAATGAATATTTACAACTTTTTGATTTGCGTCCTCTATTTACTGAAGGTATGCAAAGCCATGGACGGATCTTGAAACTGGGAATTCCTATTGTCTCTTCTTCCCATATTCACCAGAGCATTTGGTGCATTCTGTTCCCAGGACGAAGGTCATGAGACCATATGTATCTATTTCTATGAATGTTTCACTCAGAGAATTCAGCCATGTCTCTGGATCTGCATCTGCAATTTTTATTGGCGGGTTTTCAATATTGGAAATGGACAAGGTAATTAATCCCATGTCTTAATTGAGAATTTTCTACTACTTGAAGAGAATAGACAGCAGTCTGCAATTGGTTTATTTGGGAAACAATGAGCATAATTTTTCCTCTTCACCGGGCTGTGTGTGCAACATTGCTAGATCTGGTCATCAGCACTCATTAAGTTCCATTTGTATTTATAGAGCAAGATTTTCTCTCTAGAATTAACTAAGCTTGATTTGTTAAGCTTTTCACTGGTGTAGAATCTTTCTTCTATAAAATATAATCCTTCAAAATCAGGTATATATGATTTCAAAATGGTACTTAAACTGTTTACATGTTTTCATTGTTTTTATGTCACAGAGTTCAATGCAACTGAACCTGACACCAGACTCTAACAAGACTATTATAACCATTTTGGGAAACACAGGTAAATGAAAGCCTTCTTCCTCTGTTTCTCTCTCTGCCTCGTCTGTTTTAGGATTTTCTTTTATTTTGGTCCAAGTTGATGATAGGCTTTCAATTCGGAAGTCCTCTTTCCATACCTTGTAATCCAATGGCATCCCAGGTTTCCGGTCTAAGCCCTTAGAAGGGACAGTGGGGAGACTAGCTTTTACCTTCTTTGTTAATGGTGCTGAGTGTAGATATTTCTGTGAAGACTTGTTAAATTTTTTCAAAAAGACTGCTGCTTCTGGTTAACAGTCTCATAACAAATGTAGGTGTTCATGCAAGCACACGCTGATAATTCCCGTGCTGTATAAGTGGTTTGATTATAAAATATTTACACCAAACTTGCCGCATGTTTGACATCTTTCCAAGTGACAGTACCATTCAAAGATGCTATCACTTCCAACCCCACCTTCCCAAGTCTAAATGCTCACATCTTTTCTGAGCTATATGATTGCCGTCTGGTGTTCTTCTTTCTGGCTTACATAGGCTTCTGGGGTGTTAAAAGGAGTGGTGCTGCAGTAGATGTGTTAAGATTTTGTGAATACTAAATAACATCTCAACTGCCAACCTGGCACAATAAAGTATGTTGCATAGATGAAATTGGTTCTCTCATTGCAGATGTTGAAATCCACTGGCATGATCGGGATTCAATGAAGATCACTCTCATCCACAAGGAAGATTTTGGGATAGGCAGCTGTGCAAAATACGAGGTGAGCTGTGTTTTTTTTTGGTACAATATGTGAGTATGTAGCTGGTGCAAATGAAATAGGCTTCGCAATATCTAAGATTCCAAGGGACTGCCCAAAATGTGGAATAGTTTCAAATGTGTTTTAAAACCATATAGAACTGAATGAGCTGATTTCAAATGATATAGGGAGGATTTCAAATGATATAGGGAGCACCAAAGGATGTTTAATTCTCTTAACTATTCATTATAAAGATTGATTCATGCTGTTTTCAATATCCCCAGGTCGAAGTGCTGAGAGCCAAAAGATTGAAAGATAGAATCTTCATCACTCTCCCAGCCAATGGTTAGCTCGCATAGCCTTTGAATACCCACACAAGAGGAGGGTTGTCTAACAGTTATGATGATGTGTCTTGTTTTTCTGTATTACAGGTCAGAGAATGGAAATAGAGGTTACGTATGAACCTGGAACAACAACTGGGACAAAAACTACCTTTACAACGTTTATTGGGCTATTAATAGCTGGATGTGTGATTCTTTGTGTATTTTATCTAGGTTTTTCCTTGATTATCTATGAGATATCCAACAGATATAGGCCATCTACCACCTCTGCCACTCCAAGTATCACAGCACCAGAGACTCCTGTTCGTAGTAGTCCTGCCTTGACTGAACAGTCTCCCCGAACACCTCAGCCTTTCGTAGATTATGTAAGGAAAACAATAGACGAAACTCCCCACTACAAGCGAGAAGTTAGGAGGAGGTTTAGTCCACAGAATACTTACTAGATTCCTCTCTTCACTTCCTATCCTGGTGATTTGGTTTTGGCAATTCTTTAATCAAAATTTTGGTAGTGTTATGTATATATTGGGATTGAGAAGTGGTCTCGCAATTTTGGTTATAGGATCATGCTAGATGATGAATATGCTTCTGTCAAGATCGAAAGCAATTCGGTTACTCTTATCTTTCAATGAGATTGTCGAATTGGTTGTGACGTCTTCTGTTCCTGTATTTTTATATCTACATTCTTTTGTTTGGGGCAATCATTTCATTTAGGATAGACTAGTTTTTTTTATTCGTGTTATGTTATGTCTTAGATAAAATATATGAAATTATTTAAAAAAATTATTAGTTTAATAGTCTGTGTCATGGTTTTAATCTATAAAAATATATGAAATTAAATGTGAAAGCAAAATTATTTATAATTTTTTAATCAAAATTTTATGTTTAATTATTTTTTATTTGTGTTTTTCATTTTTTTTCAAGAAAAAAGATTTATCATTGTTAATCCATGGATTATTAAATAAAAAATTTAAAAAAGCTTTAGTATTTTATAAGATGATGTTAAAAAAATAAAATAATATTTAATAAAAACTTAAATAGAATTGAACAAAAAAAATTATGTTTTATTTTTATTTAATGTTGATGAGAATATTGGTTTTTGAAAGAATATGAATTTAATTTTTATGTATTTATGCACAAAAAGATGAATAATATTAAAATGAAAAACTACATTAATTTGAATTATTGAGTTGTTAATTCAAAATATAGTTCTAATTATTTAATTTAAAATAAATTAAGTTTAAAATATTAATAAATAAATAAATAGTAAATGTTTAATGTAGTAATAGTTGTATAGTTAATTTTTTTAAAAAAATAACAATTCACTATTTTTTTATATATATAATAACTATACTAAGTGGGTTTAGAGTTTTCAGTATAAAACAAAAAAAAACATTATAACAAAAAAAGTTAACTTGCAATGAATATATTAACTACATTTTAAGTTAATAAACTAAAATAAAAATTATTACAAAATTGATTTCATTTAATTTTGATTATATAAAGAAGAAGAAAATAAGATACATGGATTTTTTTTCCCTCCTTAAATAATTTTTTATTTCTATGCAATGCATGACTAGTCTTTGAAAACATGACTCACGTGTAGAGCAATCATCTCTTTTTTGTTTTTTTTCTAAAAAAAGCTAAGAAAAAATTATTTGAAATACATTTTTAATTTAAAAATGTATTTTAGACAAATTATATATATATTAATTATGTCATTATAATTTAAAAATTATCTAAATCTATTTTTCAAAAGAAAAAATAATCATATTCTAAAAATTTATTCCAAAATCCATACATATAGAAAAATAAATAAAAACTTTTAGTAAATATAATTTTAAATTAATTGGATGAGAATTTTTAAAAAAATGATAAATTAAAATAATAAAATTAAAATAATAAAAGTATTTAACAAAAAAAACTAAAACAAAATGAGACCAAGTCACAATACAATTCAAGTTTGAAATTGAAAAAAAAATGGAAAGAAAAATTGATGACAAAAGTGTTAAAAAAATACCGTAAATAGTTAAAGAAATAGTGATTTGTGAGTGTGTGAATAATGATTTATGAGTACGTGAATCTTGTTATAAATAGTAAACACATATTTTAAATAGTAAACACATATTTTGTTTAAGTGTTTTTTATAACCGCCTTTTTCTTTTCCTCGGATAATGTTAGGATAGATGGTTGTGGTCATTTAATATGTGATTTTGCCTTAAAATCAAAAGCTAGAAAAATAATTTAAAATCAATGATTGCGAGTTCTAGCTGATCTTTTCAATGAGTCAAAGGTCATCAAATCCACACCTTACAGGGTAGCGTTTGGTTACTGATTCAGGATAGAGAATACAAACGGGAATGAGATGGGATTGAGAATGGAAGGTTGTATAAGTCGTAGAATGTGCCTCTAAAGCTTGTTTGGTTGATGGTGGACAAAACAACGCAGAGGGAAGAAAATTCATTTTTATCCTTGAATTGTCTTGGCTTTCTGTAGCATATATATATATATATATATATATATATATATATATATATATATATATATATATATTGTATCAAATAAGCAAAAACTTTAAATTTTTTAATTATATTGATATTTTTTTTAATCTTGGACATAAAAGATACAAATTAAGTTTTTGTTAACTATAGTAGTATGAGTTTATTTTTCTGTTTAAAATTTGAAGGAGATATGGTGATGACAAACACTAAATGCCATGTAGGATATTTCATGAAATCTTTATTTTTCCAATTCAGTCCTAATTCTTTTCTTAATTGAATTGAAGTCTCCTTTTCTTCAATTATTTAAATTTATTTTCAATATTATTCATCTAATACTTTTTTTGAATTTTTTTTCTTCTGTACAAAACTTAGAAACAAAAACCAATATAAATCCTATCTCATATATTGTCGGATTGGTTGATAGGGCTAGAAGGACGGTTGGCTATGTTAGAGATTGACAATGGTGGATTGGTTGGTGGCGTGGGCTTAGCAATGGGGTTTGATTGGATTTGAGAGGAGCTGTGCTGGAGGGCAAAAACGACTGGTAAAGTGGGGCGATCTGTGGTGGCCAGGGGTTTTGTGAGGGACGACAACGACTAGAGTTTGATTGGGTTTGTAGGGGTGGACAGCGATTGGGGATTGGGTTTTAGCTAGGATTTTGGCAAGGAGATCGACGACTAAGCGACTGCAGTGGGTGATCTATGGAAATCAAGTGTTTTATGAGGTTTGTGGGCGGAATCAGGTTGGGATTTGGTGGGTTTATAGTCAGTTGCAGTTTATGGGCGAGAATCAATGGCGTGGTGGTTAGTAGTGGTGGTCGGCTATAATTTTTAAGGGAGAAAAGGGTGTTATTGGCTGGCAGTATTGAATTGGAAATGAATTGAAAAAAATTGAGGGAATGAGGATTTTAATTCATTTGGAAAGAGAATTGGGAAGGAATTAGGAGAATGAAGATTTCAATTTAATTGGAATTGTAAAACATGCCACATGAGATCCTATGTGGCATGTGGTCCTTGTCATCGTCCTATCTCCTCCGTCATGTCAGATGATAACAAAATTTTAAATGAAAAAATTAATACGTGCTAGTATAATTAACATGTTTAATTTGTATCTTTTCTGTCCAACATTAAAAGAACGTACTAATATAGATGAAAAAGTATAAATTTGTGTTTTTTTGATACAATAAACCATATATATATATATAGTTTCATTTCATTACATCATGCATGTTTTATTTATTTAATACTCTTTTGTTTTAAAGAGTTTCTCAATTGTCTGTTCCGCAAGATAGTTTCAGCATTAAGTTTGCATGGCATGAACTATGGTTGAAATATGAGATTTTAAGATTTAAAAAAGTCAAACATTCTTTAAATTTAGTTTATTTAAAAATCAAAATCGGAACTAATTTTGGTTTTTTGATTTAGTCTATTATATGATTTTCAGTTGTCATTCCCTTAAAAAAAAAAAAATCAATTCCCGAATTTTGATTTGAAATTTTGCACACGTTCAAAAAGAATTAATCTATTTTTCAAAGTAAAAAAGTATATTTATTTTTTGAATATTAAAAATGTAAAAAATTAAGAAAAATAAAAAGTAGCACGTAATGATCTCAAATGTTTTGGAAACTCTAAATAAATCTCATTAAATAATTTCTATCATGTAGCTATAAATGGGATTGTTATTTTTTGGGCTAAATTAACGAAAACTAATGGTGATGACAATTGCTTTTTTTTTTTTTACAAAGTCAATGAAAGTGCAACTTTTAGTTATCTTTGCCTAGTAAACTTGTAAATAAATAAAAAAAAATATTAGAGAGAATCAAGATAGAATATTGGTCTAAGTGTTTTAGGTGATTAGTCTTTTTGGTCATGCTTTTATGGGTGTTATACCATTTCGATCGTGTTCTCATGGACGACTTGTCCTATTAGTTATGTTATCCTGGACAACTTTCTCTTTTGGTAGTGTTTTCCAAGAAGACTTGTTTTTTTGGTTGTGTTGTTTGCAAAATCATGGCATTCGGATCAATTTTATTTTATTTTTCAAAATCATGGCATTTGAATTCACATTTGTTTTCAAAATCATGGATTTTGGATCCATTTTGGTTTCAAGATCGTGGTTGTTGGTTACAAGATTATGACATCCGGGGTTGGCGTCATCTTCAAATCATGGCATTTAGGTTCACATTGTTTTCAAAATAGTGGCATTTAGGTCCATTTTGGTGGCATTTGGATCCACCTAGAACCTAATAGGTTGAGAACATTATCGTCGTTAATCTATATTCAAAATACAATGAATGCAAGCTAACAAGATAATGTGATTTATCTATAATACATCTAAGTATAAATTACGTTACGGAAGCCTACTAATGACGATTCGGTCCTCGCATTTTAGTTCAAAATGCACAATGAATTTTTCACTTTTTATTATTTAATTCACATTCTTTGAATTGAAATAAATGGATCCATGACAATCGGTTTCCTCACTTTTTTTTCTATTAATTTATATAAATTTATTTAATCATGATTAATCATTCGATAATCAATTATTATTATTTTTTCATTAATGACCATTTATTTTAATTATTATTTAGCTAGTTTTATTTTCGTATGATACTATGCTAGCACGAAAATAAATAACTTAAAGAAAACTACACTAGCTACGAGTATACTTCAATTTTACTATTGATATATATATATATATATATATTTTTTATGTATAAACTACTATTTATATACAAAACCAATTTAGTGCCAACTACTATAAAAATGAGATATTAACTATCTACATTCATTTTTTGCTAGTCAATCATTTACTCTTTTATTGCTTTAACTATCATATAGAAAAACACTAAAATAGCTAGAAAGTAAACTAGAATGCTAAGTACTATGACCACTATAATGTGTATGAGATCCATCCTCCAACCACATCTAATGTACACATATCGAACGGACTCTTCGATAGTCGGCTCAAAGGTGAAAAACACCATCTTTACTTGTATTAGCTACAACATAAGCAAATAGGTGAGCAACCACTCGGTAAGTTAACTATTGCATGATATACATATAAATGAAAATGCATGTATAAATCATTTGTATCCTCGTATAAAATCCTTTTCATTTCGTGAATATTTTTTCATGATGAGTTTGAAAATGCTTTTCTCGTCTTTGGACATGTCCCATTGTAGGAACTTCGGGGTATCCATGAAATGTCTAGTGAACCGGAGCAATCCGTGGACGCGTCCTGTCGAGCCTCGATGCATGTCCGCACCACTCGACCTATGTAAACCATGAATCATGAACCATGAAAGTCCTATGAAGCCCTTTCATAAAACCATGAAAATCATTTCCATGAAAGTCATGAAAACCATATAACCATAAAATGTTTTTCAATTGCTATTGGAAAATCCTTAACATAAAATCCTCTTTTCCATGACTTTTTAGATCATTTCCATAAACTTGGCTTCGTGTATACATTTCATTGTAGATGCATAATCAGTATCATTTCATGAAATGCATGCCATGAGTGAGATGCATTTATACCATAATATTGCATAGTTTAATAACATGAAAGTGCCAAACCTTATCTTAATAAACCCATTTCAAACATCAACACCATCCTATAACATAAAACAACATCAATATACAATATAAAACAACACAACTTCATCACTATCAACATTGTAACTTACACATAACATACACATCTCAAACTCATCAACTCGGCATTTCAAAATTCAACCACACATTAAATTATACAAATCAAGTCACAAACCCTAAATTTCTTAACTTAGGCCGAATGATACCCTAATTTAAACTAGCCATCTTCTTCCAATTTTAAGACCCATTTCTCACATAATTCCATTCAATTAGACCCTAAGGACAAGAACTATCTCATTTAAGTAGTAATTGGTTAATTACATGTATAATTTTCAAATTGGGCACTAATTTAAGTATTCTAGGCTAGGTTTTAGATTTTAGTGTAAGTTTCCATTCTATCTCATTCCATCACATTATCCTATGTCCAAAATGATTAATTGAAGTATTAAGAATGAATTAAACATTCCTTAATTAAGCTCCAAATTAACCTTGAAAGGTTGGATAATTTGAGAAATTCCTTCCTCCCCTTTTCTCCACCAATTCGGCCTAAATCCAAATTTCTCCCTTGATAAAGTTTGATCCTCTAACTTGATTTCCTTGATTAGTTAGTTGATTGAAATTTTGCAAGAGTTTCCTTTGTGTTTGGTGATTTTCTATGCATTTTTTGAATTTCTTGCACCCATATTTATAAGAAAAATTTGGTGGACTTTTGACCTCATCTCCACCCTTGATTTACTACAATTTGGTGTAATCCTAGCCTTTAAATCCTAGCCTTTCAAATCGGTTAATCTTTTCCTTTAACTTTCCTTTTGATTTTAGCCTTCCATCTTGCTTAATTCTCACCTCTTCTTTTTATCTTAGTCAAAGCTCATTTAATAACCCCTAATCATGTTGCTAGAATTTGGCTGGAAAGGGTAAAAATCTCTCAAAAATTTGCTTAATTTTATTCCCTTAATTTACAAATCTTTTCTTTAGTTACTCCTCCATCCATCCTTCATTTTTTCAATTAATTACTTTAGGCCATTCCTTTAAATATCTTAACAACTTTTTAACTCCTAAATTTCATAGCTAATTTAATTTAAAAGTTTAAAGTTTTAAATTTATGCAATTAGGTTCCTCACTCTAAAATTTTATTCTATACATTTCCAAAATTCAATTTCTGTTCATAATAAATTCAAACACTTTCTAAAAGAATTTAATCATCATTCACATAATTTTATACCTTTATTTAGACCTCCAAATTAATTATATAGTGTGGAAACTACACTATTTTCTATAGAAAATATTCCTTATAAATAGAAAAATTTATCTAAACTTATTTAATATTGTCACATGCCCTAAATGATTTTTTATACCCTTGGAATAACTTTCTTATATATCTAAAGCTCTTAAATTAATTAATTAACCTCAAAATTACTATTCATGCATAATAAGATGCAAATAAAATATTCACGAGTGTCAAAAAAATTTCATCCAAAAATATAGAATAATCTAACACTCCTCTAGCAAATATTCTAAGTAAATAAAATATTTTTCATGCACATACAATATGCATAAAATAATTATTTCACACAAAAATCACTATTCATGCATCGTAAAATCAACAAAATATTTATTGAGCATAGGAAAATTATTCTAATTGCCCCGAATATTCTTTAAACCTTTTTTTTTTTTTTATAATTCCATGCCCTTAAAATATTTTTCATATGTTTTTAATACCTTTAATTTTATTAAGTTTCAGTTTTAGCGGGTACCAAATATTACGAGTTTTGAACTATTGAGTTTGCCTCCAATTATTTCAAACTCTATGAGTCACCATTTAGTTTTGCATGAATTCGAACTAGATCATAATATGCCTCCAAGTAATCATTTACTATCCACCTCTTACTCGTGATGGCTTGTGCTCGGTGTTTATCTTTTGATATTTGTACCCCAATTTATAAATTAATCTTGAAACTTTCATCACATTTTGAGAAATAATGTTTTAATTTTTGAGACTAAACT